TAAGCACGAGATTCATCCACCAACCGACCATTTGGATCATGCATTGCTTGGAGCCCTCAAAATTTTCAAATTTGGGCATATATCAAGGCTCCAAGCATTCAATCACTCACACAAGCATAATAATAAACTACCCCCCCTCCCACTTAAGCTCGACATTGCCCTCAATAGTGTAAAATAGGGGGTAGAACGATGTTACCGCATGGCTTGGTGAAAGAAAGTTGGAGAATTTCCTGGGCTAGGATGTTTTAGCTTCATAGGAGAAACAAAACAAAACACAACACACACACACATACATTCTCGCTCGAGGTGAGGTTATTACACATAACGAAGTTCACAGTACTATTCAAAATAAAGAACTCACAAAGTACTAGTTCACACACTAATTAAGGAGAAAATAAAAAATAAAAAGAGTTCAAAGCTTGCAAGTTGAGAAGTGGGGTGAAAGAAATCGGCTTTTCCACATGTCTCCCTCGACGGCTATCTCGTCATGGGCAAGGTCACTCCTCGTCGTCTGAAAGGACGCCCTGGCATCGAGCCATCCTCTCTATGAGATCGGCGGTTTGGTCGAGCCGAGTAGTGACGCGGACGCCCACATAATGTTCCTCGAGGCAATCCACTCGCTCCTCGAAGTGGGGTCCGGAGGTAGAGGGTCCAACCCAGGATGATGATGATGCAGCTGATGGTGGTGGTGGTGCGGTGCGCTGGCGACGACTGGGAGCTCTGGTGGGTGGCTGCTCCGGAGGAGGTACCTCTAGATCAGGCTGCACTAGTCCAGGGTCGACATGGGGTTACAGAGTTTCCAAGGGTCGAAGGCCCTCGATGAACTCAATTCCTCTCTCCCCTTGAAGCACCAGCTTCATGTTATATAGGGTCTCCACCGGAAACTGCTTCGTCCGGACGATGATAGAACACCGGCCCACATCAATCCCGAAGTGTCGGGCCAACCTAGTGATGATGCCCCCAAGTGCATCGTGTCCACACGGTCACGTCCTTTCATCGAGCAAAGGTGGTAGCAACCACGGCTCCCAGATGGAGTGGATCTGCCAGCCGGTTCAGGGAATGGAGGGCTATCAAACCTCTGTTCTTTATCATGTGCCCTGCCAACAGTCTGGGGATGATGGACTTCATCAGGAGGGTGTGCAGGATCCTCCACGGTGTCATGAGCTTCACAGCTTTTCCCATCTAACAAAATTAAATAACCAACGAAATAGAGCATATACCGGTCCACCATATATTATCATCAAGCTTCTTCCTCTTGAAATGATGGTTCCAATTGCTCTAAGTGTCGTATGCACCATCTCTGGGACCGCTTCCAGGCTGGATCCAAGCATAAGATGGTAGCTCTGATCTCGGCGTTGCGATCAGAGATGATTGTCAGGTTGGTCCTCTTGGTGACGTGGATGTAAATTTGTCTGAAGAACCATGCATAGCTTTTAGTATTCTCTCCCTCAACAATGGCAAAGGCTAAAGGAAAGACTTCTCTGTTTGCATCCGCTCTGCTGGCAATTAGGAGACAACCCTTGTACTTGCCGGTAAGGAATATTCCATCCACTTGCATCACAGGGACACATAAGTCAAAACCATCAATAGATGGCTTGAATGACCAAAAAATACGTTTGAAATGGCGTTTGTTACCGGGCTCCGGCGGTTAGATCTCTTCATCTTGGTAGCGGGGGGGGGGGGGGGGGGGGGAGAGAAAACAGTGTGAGGGTTAGGCGCCTCCAATGCCAAAATCAATCTGGGAAGGAATGCAAATGATTCTTCCCAGTCACCAAAGACAACAACCATGGCTTTCTGCTTTCTATGCCACGCCTTCTTATAGTTAATAATATATCCATAACGACTATAAATGTCGGCGATGATGGCTTTCACCTTCAAGTCCGGTTGTTGTTTAATTAGATGATTGATAGTTGCGGCAACAACCCTGAATTTCAACTGTCGGTGACCTTGGGATGTTATGGATGACACACATGTGTGAGTATTCACCGCACGGGATATGACCCAATGGCCGACTCTCTGTTGATGGCTCTGACCCTAGCCTTGCATCCCTCGTGTTGATTTCGACATCTAACTATGAGCCTCTTCGCGTTGGAATGAGTTGTGCGCCATTCAAAACTTTGAGTCATTGCTTCAATCTCAATAGCGTGTCGCACCTCCTTCTTCATACCAAATTGTTGGCCCTTCATAAACCCAGTGAGTGGACCCCATAATGGCACCTCTGACGGCTCCATGTCGGCGTCGACATACCAAATCTCATTTGGAATGTGATTGTAGTACGGGATAGGTACACGGTCATGTCTGCACTGACATTGGTTTCTTCTTCTTCACTGGAAGGATCACTAACTGGTGCTGGCAGGACATCTTCCATCTGATCCAGATCATGAAAGGCACCTTCATCATCACCATAATGGTAGTTGTGAAAACTACTGCCGCCTGAATGGAAGTTGTACTCGGGTTGGTACTGGTAGCCTTCTTGTTGGTTGTCATGGTACCGTTGGACTTCTTCTTCATATGATGGGAAGGATTGATGATGACCATCACCTCCTTCTTGTTACTCATGGTAGGAATGAGGATCATGGTAACCTTGGATGATCTTCATATAATCCATCTCCACCATGGATACCATATGTTTGGCCATCTCCAGAATGACCTCCACCGCCTTCGACTACCTCGGTGTAAACGAGCATCTCATGCTTTGGAAACATTGTTGGCGTTCAAAATTCAATCATGGTATCTACTTCATCCTGAGTGGTCATGGGGAATTCCTCATGCCACAACGACCTGCCTTGTCTGTTTGGATATGGTACACCATACGATCAACTCTTCTCGCTCCATCCATGCAAGTAACCTCAGTACACATTTGATAGAGCTTTTCAAGCATCGGTCTCGTAGAGACCTTCATTTTATGAAAATTACCACTAACGTAACGTACCCCCTTTTCAGTCTCTTCAGTGTGACCATTCCACTGTAACCCAAGCGTGAACTTTTAGAATGCCATATGCAATAAAACCGCAATTCAGTTAATACCATAAAAATCACAAATCATAACAAAAATTAATACAAAATAAACTTATGAAGTAACGTTCATCACAAAAACTCTAAAAAAGTATGGTGCACAACAGACAATTGAAGAAGAAATAAGGAGAGGGGTGAGAAGAGCTGAGGTTTCCAGGACTGCCTTTTACAGGCTAAATCATCACTGGAAACCGTAGGGGAGGGGGCGGTTTTCATCTGCCATGCAGCCCACGTCTGCAAACCACTGCATGGCGACCTGTCGGATGTCGGGGAATGGGGACACACAAACGACAGGGGGGCGGTGCGGTTTGTTTGTCGGCAAGGCAAACCGCTAGTTGAGGAAGCGGTTCTGGTTGAAGACCTAAATCGCTTCCTCAACAGCCGGTTTCTGCTAGGTCAGCCGCAAAGACCGCCTGGTGAGGGAGCGGTTTCTCCTCATAATTTTAACCGCATCGCCAGTAAGCGGTTCTTCCATAAACCACCTTCTCCAGTGACGGTTTTTGGCGAATGGTGCTATTTTTGGAATTTGAGTGAATTGGATGCTATATTTAATTTTTTTTAAATAGTGCTATTTTTGGAGGAAAAAATCCCAAATATGCAGAGCTATCATTTGAAATTTGGTCTTTAGCATAATTATTTTCATGCATGGTCGTCATTATTAATCTATCTAGAGATAATCGTCCATGATAATAACACGTCCCTAAGATGTGCTGATGAATCATAAATTCTAGGAATAATACACTTGTATAGCCAAAACTTCCGTGCTTGTGCCAATAATAGCCAAATTTCGAGAAATACACCTATAGCCAGCTTTTAAAGTTGTTGTAGGATAAATATAGCCATTTCCGTCAGATACTTTAACAGTGTTAATAACACCGTCAACTTATTTGACGGTTTGCTGACTATACGCCAAATCAACGGATACGTCAGCGCCAAATAGACAAACAATGACACCTTTATATATTTTAATTATTTAATATTTACACATCATAAATTAAAAAAAATTCTTTTTAGCCTCATATACCGTATCTTATTCGCACCACCCATCTTCCCCAACTTTTCCCCAATTTCGATTTTAGGGTTCTTCCCCAAATCAACTCCCCACGAATCCTCCAACTGGGAATCATTCTTGATTGACGATAGGGGTGCTGCTGGAGATGATCGGTGACGATTTTATAGATTGAAGAGGGAAGGGGAAGGGTCATCGCGGAAGACGGCGGGGATGCTGTTGGAGATGATGGCGCTGCTCCGGCGGAAGATGATGTCTCTGATGGCATCGACGTAGGGGTTGTGAGAGCTGGCCAACCGAAACGTCGCAGCATCACGCTCGCCGCCGCCGATGACCCAATTGAAGGCTGGTGGTGGTTCTGGCTCCACGCCGCGATTGTTAGCGATGATATTGCTGCAATTAGTGTGCCATTCGAGCTGCTGCAAGAATCAAATATGGTGCCATTGCGATTGCGATTTGGATGGGATTTTTGGATTGCCGAGACAAGGGATTTTATGGTTCGATTTCTAGTTTGAGATTTCCATTTAAAAGTAGGTCTGGAGATGCATCTGGTGATTATAGTTGCGGCTATGGGAGAGAGAAGGGGAAAGAAGAGAGAGAGAGTGGAGAAATAAAATAAAATTATTTGTGGGTTTACGGAAGGAGTATGTGGGTTTTTTATTTTTTTATGGGTAATATCTATTTTTTATTCAAACCATTTTCAAATTCTTTTATTTTATCCAAAGCTGTCAAAATACTATTAATTATCCGACCGTTACCCCACCGTTAACGGAACTGAGTTGGAAGCCAACGTGGCAGGGACCATTTCTATTTTTAATTAAAAAAATTCAAAATGAATATTAAACCCTCTCTCTCCCTTATTCTTCTCCGCCAAATCTTCTCCAATCTTCCCCGATATTTTCCTTTTCTTTTGCTTCCCAGTTGAGCGCATCCAAGTTCCAACCGAGGACAACAAACAGTCAACGAAGAGGAAGAGATGGTGTGGGTCCAAAGTGGGGCTCAACTTGGAGAGCTCTTCTACGCGATCGCGAGGCTGAGCACCCACCTTGCGTTCCCGGCGAGACTCTGCCCCACGGTGGGAGTCGGAGGCCACTTCAGCGGCGGGTTCGGAACTCTAGTCAGAAAGTACAGTCTGGCCGCAGATAATGTGATCGATGATTACCTCATGGATTCTCGCAGCAGGATTCTGAACAGAAAGGCCATGGGAGGAGAGGTTTTCTGGGCGATTAGAGGCGGCGGAGCGGGAAGCTTTGGGATCGTGTTGTCGCTCCGTTAAATTGCTGCAAACCAATTGATAAATTGATGCCCAGATCTCAAACTAAACCCCCAAATCCTCCCCTGTTAAAACCCACCGATTCTGCATCTCCACCAATAGATCCATTCGCACACGCCGCCGCCTCGACTTTCTCCCCACCTTATGCTTTTGTAAAAAACAAGATGGGTATATCTCCCTGCCCTCGTAATCGACCTCGCAGCATGTTCTTTGCTTGTATGGGTTTTAATTTATTTACTGGTTCTTTAGATGAAGAAAGCGGTCGCAGCGCCGAGATCGGTGGCGAAGCAGCAGCGCCGGGGAGGATAGATTTTGGCATTTTTTTTATGATTTTTTAATTTTTTTAATTTATGATGTGGATGTTGATGTGGACGCTGACGTGGAGATCCGTTAGTAAAAAATTAACGGTAACAGAATGAATGCCCAAACATTGATTAGTTATAATACGTTTGGATAATAAATATAATTTTGATAGGTTTGGATAAAATAAAAGAATTTTGAAAAGATTTGGGTAAAAAATAGACATTTCCCTTTTTTTTATTAATCTACGTGGCAGTCTTGTTGACACAATATTTTGCCAAGTAAGCATTTCCATTTGTCCAGTCATCTTATTAGATGACACCGTTAAAGTATTAGACGGAAGTGGCTATAAGTGGTATTTCTTCAAATTTGGCTTTATTGGCATAAGCGTGAAAGTTTTCGCTATACAAGTGTATTTTGTCTAAATTCTAACCGAATACATTCATGGCTTATCTCGTGAATCAACAATTAATTGATGTGCGTGATTGAATGGTGTGGATACTATAGTTTCATTCCGGATTTCCATTTCATCATATGCTCGTAAACTCGTTTAATTTCTTGACACGCACACAATGATAAAAATGTAAAAAAAAGGTAATATCTATTTTTTATTCAAACCTTTTTCAGATTCTTTTATATTATCCAAACCTATGGAAATACTAAGAATTAGCCAAATGTTAACTCCCAGTTAACAATTTTTTTAGTAATATTGACTTGGCAACATGATACTAACTTGGAATAGACACATGAAGGTCAACATTTCAAAATTCATAGTTTATATTATAAGTCCTTTATAGTTATTTTACACAACCTCTTGTATTAAAAAAACACTTTTAGTTAATTTTCAACCAAACACTCAACTGCATTTTTTGAAAAGTACTTCTCTAAAAGCTCAAGCCAGAAGCTGCTTCTACACTACAGCAGGGTCAAACTGAGCCTATATATCTCTGCAAACTATCTTTCTCCATTGGCCGGCCGGCTGCCAGACTGGTATTGTATAACGTTCGTACTATATATTTGACATGTGATAATTTTAGTTGCTAGCTTTAGGGTGAGGGGTGGACGGCTACAGATACGGTCAATAATTCTAGTTATCGACCAATGAGTATCCAAATCTCAGCTATAATATTTAAGTCGGCTTAGAAAATTCAGATTTAAAAGTGGAGAATTAAAGATATTTTTTTTAATCGGTTCATATCTTCTTCGTTTTAACTCGGATTTCAAATTTTTTTTTACATAGATGAAACGAGTTTGTTGTGCTCTACAAAATGAGATTCATTTTCAATATTTTTTGAGAAAAAAAATTATTGCTTCTCGTTACCAACTCCATACTATATGAAATCTCATCATTTATAAGTCGTTTTTGAAATGTTTTGCACATAATGAATAAGTTCATCATGATCTATTGGATCTACAAATTTCTGGGTGAACAAAATACAGGACCAAAAAATATCATACAATACCACCCTGGTATAAGGTGATATCTTGTGGTACACAATGTTGAAAGTAGCAAATGACAGTTAGTATACTCCTACTGTCATGTATTCAATCATCCTACAGTTTTGGTATGTTCATACCACCATGGTAAGCTTTTTCATACCATATGGTATGCTCTTATTTAATACCAGTCAATACTATATGGTATATACTGGTAAAAAATGACTCAATTTTTTTGTTCAAAAAATATATCAAAGTGGATATCATTTTAAAGAGCATAATTAATCTGATCTAACTGTGCAAACAAATTTATATTCCGACTTAAAACGAGTGAGAAATTGTCCGTTAAAGATTAAGAGGGAAAAAAATTAAAAACTTTTCAAGAGAGAGAATGGCACTAATGTGGTGGATGATGATTGGGTTATTGTTACTCATCACAAGGTTATGCATAGGATCCGTTCCCGGGGGTGTACGAAGTCTATTATTTGCCCGAGTATTGTCGAAAATGAATTGGAGAACGGGTTGGATCCTCTTATTAAGTAAAGACTTGAGAATTCTTTAAATTTATTTCGGTCAATAGGAAAATAAGAGAGAGTGGGAAGGTCTAATCATCAAAAAGAGCAATTGGGATATTATAGAAAAATAAAAAATAAAAATACTCATTTGAAATTAATATTATTTTTAGTATTTAATGAAATATGAAATTAAAACAAAAAATTTTAATTAATATTTTAAAGTTTTACAAATAAAAATTCAAAATAAACAAATGTGTCGTCTTGCAATGACATTATTAATGTATTTCAATGATATGTCAATGTTAATTAAATGAATTAGTATTGATATGTTTCATCATTATTAACAATTTCAATATACTTATCAATATTTTAATGTTACATTATTAATGATTTTACATCAATTGTTAGCTTTTTACATGTTTTTCATCAACGCTCATGAATGAATTGTTAAAGTTATGTCACATCATCATAAATACATTATTAATGATTTACAACATCTCTTTGTTAATAATTCATGTTTTTATGTTATGTTCATAACTAGCCAATCATGACTTCCAACGACAATGTCAACGTTTTGCGATCAGATAATATCTCTTTAGATTGTCATTCTCAACAATCATAAAAGTACAACACTTATCATCACCCTCTTCTACGCTTGTTACATACTGCGCTTTTGATTCAATTAAGCAAAACATTATTCAAGCAAAACATTAGTTCATGGAGGTGTAAACAAACCAACCTTCACACTCCAACACCAAACCGTTAATAACAATATAAGAAGTCATTGAAAAGAAATTGTATTTCGTTAAAAAAATACAAAAATATTAATAATGTTGAAGTTCAATGTTAAGTATAATTATAATTTAAAATGTTGGTATAAACTTGCATAATTTATACTGAACTTCTATTTAACGCCCTATGTTTTTGTATTTATCGTCCTAAATTATATCGAATGAGCTCTTTTACCCCAAATTCTTATTTGTAACGACCCCCGCTGCCCTAAACCTAAAAAATTACTCACCCCAAAAGATACCCGCGCCACCCACCTTCCCGTCGATGCTCGCCGACCACCATCCCCGACCCTCTGCCAATCCGCACCCATCCAGCTCCTCGTCCTCAATCACCGTCGCCAAACTCGGCTCCCTCCATCAAACTCGCTACAACTGCTTTTCTTGCCTAAACGAATCCACACCAGACCCAGGCGGGTCGGATATCCGCCCACACCAAGACACGGACGAGTTGACAACCAGACTACACCAGCGTCGGACGGGATGAAAACCCATCGCCTGCGGGCAAGGAACAGGATTTTCAATCCTTCCGACGGTCGGAAACGAAAACAATCCTTTTCTCTTTTTTTTTTATAGCGAGCAAATCCGGCAGTAAATTGGGCGGCGCCGGATTACTTCTTCCTCGACCTGAGCTTCGGGCGGCGATAAATTTTTAAAGGGCGGAGGTTGCCAGGTTGGATTGGACGGGAGAAGCAAGCTGAATTGATGGAAATGTCTCAAAATTTAAGGGAGGGTAAGGGGTAATTTCACTAGGGGTTAGGGCGATTTTTAAAAAATCTTAGGGCGGAGAATAGTAACTCTTTTATTTATAACAGCTTTTCGGGCTTTGTTGTTTTCGTCGGTGCCATAGAAATTTAGGTGTCCTCGACTTTTCACATTGACCGAGTAAACAAGAAACTTTCTCCATCTAACCTTTCAACCTAATCTCAAAACAAACTAAAATCACATGTTGAATATTTATAGAACATTATATATAATTACCAGGCCGACCAGCCGACCAACGGAGGACATATTTTACAGTTATATAGGCTAGGTGTGAGAAGTTGAGAACAAAAGACGGAAGGGAAACAACAACGCGATCTTATTTCTCTGTTATGTGTTATAGTATTCATAACTTTCAATAATTTCATAAAGGAGGTGGTGTTCAAAACGTCCAAGCACAGAAGGCAATTCTTTTTGTTTCTTTGGATGGTAAGAGTGTTTGTAAAATTGCATCATACAGACAGATCGACCGAAAAGATAGTCCATCGAAACTTAGCCCATTAGACAGTTTTATCAATACGAAACGATTGAACATGTCCTAGCTCATGTGGCACTACTCCTTTTCTACATTTTCGTCCCGTTTCTGGTATTTCTTCCTCTTTTTTTTCTCCTGCTTTGTATGTTGCTTTTGTTTCTTAGCTAACAGCTAATGAGCTTGTCTCTCCTTTACTCTCTTCAGCTTAATTCGGGTTGTTCTATGATATGCTACTGCACTTATAAAAAAAATTACAAAATATCCTATTATTGACTTTTTCCATACAAACTACGGCACAAATTTACAATCCTTAGTTATTGTACCGCCAAAGGTAATCAAGACGAATATTCAATGATACATTAAAAACTATTTTTCACATGCATGCACAACGACACCGCTATATAACTCAGAGGTGCACCGAATAATACTTACACACAAACAAATGCACTAACTAATTAAGCTATGGCAGGTTCCAAGGCATCGGTTGTTTAGCCTTCATTAGCGGCGACCGTGATGATCGTCCTAATGGCGACCGGGATAATATGCATGTAGGGCCTGCGGGCCGCCAATTCCGTCTGGCCGATAGCGTGCAGCTCCGGCGTGGACCCGGCCGTCACTCCATGCGCAAGAAAACTGGCCGCCAATTTCTAGACGGCGGGATACAAGTCCACCGTGAGAAAAACAGGGCAGTGCGTTTCGAGCCCCAAAACCGCACCGTGAGAAAAA